ACAGTGGCGGCTTGTCCTATGAGGCAGGTGAGGCAATGCCTCACCAATAAATTTGGGAAGTACACCTGTTAAAATTAATGAAGTGTTTACTTATTTATTTTTTTAATCACTTCTTTAATCACAATTTCACTTTTTTAATTTTTTTCGCTATTTGCATCCATAAAATGCATAATTTTGCTTGAAACTGAAATAAAATACAGACGGCCCTGGCCTTCCAACAATCATCAACAGCAACGCGCGGACGAATCATCCATCTCATTTCCTCTTTAAGAAATAAATGTTCAGAGGCATTGCCTCTGTCTTTCCTTGTCTAGCATATTATGTACAATACATACAGGGTAGGAAAGTACCGATGGTCTATCTGAAGTTACGTGAGAGCGATAAAGTAAGCCATAGAAATCCATGCGATAGAGAAGGATGGCTATAATGAAGGCGTGTCATAGTCACCGCCCGTTTCGCCCTTCCACAAATAAGATCCACTTCTTATTTAGTCTTATTTTATTTAGTTATTTATTTTGTTAATATGTACTTTAATCGTAGTTTATGCCAAGTTAATTTTATTTCTCACTTTAAAATTTATATATGTTATTTAATACATTTAGCTTTCACCTTACCCCTTTTTTCTATTAGTCCCACCACGCCATACCCATCCATTTCCCTCCTGGCAAGAATGCTCTACACCTCCACGTTGGTTCTTGCTGGACGGTTGCGTAATAGATTTTCATATTTCACACACAGAAACGAATTTAAGTTTTCCAATAGTGCTCTAATAACATGATCTGCATTTTAATAACCTAAATTATCAACCCATATTTTTTACATTATGAAACTTATGCAATTGACGAAGTAGAGAATTCACTAAAGTAACTTTGAAAACTAACCATATTAATAATAATAAATTTGTGTGCCCCACTACCTTGTAATTTTTATAAAATCTGAATGAAAATCCTTCTCGTGAACATCAGTTTTTCGATAATATTGTAAATGCAACTACAAATTTCCAGATTCATTTAAAGTCGTTTGACCTTGAAAATTAAAAAATTTTCGCCTGCGGCGCTATTTCTTTCTTTTACTACCCGTCCAATACAATGGCCTACGTGCCTCACCTATTCTCAATATCACGAGCCGCCACTGACGGACATATTCTTGACTTTTGGTGCGCCATGCATTTTGCATTCAGATAATGTTCGAGAGTTTGTTAATGCAGTTATAAACGAGGTGGTGTCATACTGGCTTGAAGTGAAATTGGTGCATGGAAAACCAAGGCATACCTATGATTTTTGTAATATATTCTTGAAAATGCCGTTGACCTGCATTGTAGGAAGCAGGGCTCATAGGGGTAGGGTTTCATTTTTTGTTGTGCCAAAAATAACCAATTTTAAATATGCTACTCAGTAATGAATTATCTGCCCAAAGAAGACAAAAATGGATCAGTGCTGTAGAGACGATATAACTGATAATATTTTAAAATATGAAAAAGTTTGTAGCAAACATTTTGTAAGTCGTATAATGCCTATAATGTACAAAGTTCCAGTCGTTTATTACAAAGATAGAGAACATTGTTCATCTTTGAAGGGGGCTCTCAACATCTGTGTTGATTATATTCACCCTAAGATGTGTGGATCCCTTTTAACATGGGCAGCTTCTAAGCTGATGGGAAATGTTGAAGACTTTGAAACATGGGAGTACTTCCGAAGTCTACTAATGAAAGGTTATCGCATCGAGTTCCACTCGTATCAATGTTGTTCAAGACCTTTGTTTTATGCCACGGATCGGGAAACACTCTCTATCAGACATGTAAGAGAAAGAGCCAGGAGAGCCATGAAGAATCACTTGAGAAGAGCAGCAGCATTTGTGTTTCTTCTCAACATCCTTTGGTTCGGTATGGAGGCTACACCCGACTGGAGCGGATATCTGACTCTGCACACATACGAAAACGGGAGAGTTGAGCTCTTCTGCCGTCAAGCGGGTTGTTTTGCTCCTCGAAGCAGTTTTACGATTTATATAGATCAGGTTCCTATGGTGTTTGCTCATATCAATGCATGGAGACGTGTCATCAGTTATGTGCGACGAAGGGTAGGTGATAAACTAGGAGGAAGAGATTTCCCTGTAGCGACCTTCTTGAACGTAATTTTTTTTATATGAATCATCGACGAGACCAAGTTTTTTATAGGAAAACTTGCAGATTTAAAAGATGTTGATAATCCTAATTCGGTGCCAAACCAAAACATGGATTATGCTAGTGGACCATATTTAAAACGAAAAATCGACTTAGAACACAGACTGTCCAAACAAAACTTCCAGTTCTTGTGGGGACTGTTTTTTAGCGGAGGAATGTTTTATTTTGTAGGGCGGCAACGTCGCTCAGGCTAGAGTGTCAGTGTCTTACTAGTTGGGTTAGAGTGCACACATATTTAGCACATCGCTAGAAATCTCCATACGAATATATTGTAGTTATATGCTAATAAAGAATAGTTAACCAGAAGCAATCAGTGTTTTACAGTCCACCAAGTCAGAACATTAATACAAATAGCAAGAGGCTGATGAAAATTTATATACACGTAATGTTGAAACATACTATTCTAATATGTTTTTTTAGGTTGATGTGGAACACGCAGCTCAAACTCCAATATTCGAAATTGGTGTGTAAACCCAAACTGATCTAACATGTTCAGGTGTAAATAACACAGCCACACAAAAAAAGAAGTCTTGTTGGTGTGATAAGTTATCATGGTGTGATCGGTTTTCAAACTATACAATTAAGAATTTAGACATCGGATGCAGAAAAAAGAAACGATGCCAATACTCCAGATGGACGCATTTTGTGTATAGACGTGGAAACACTAATTGGATGGAAATCGACGATCAAAAAAATAATTCTACTTTTAGAGCAGAAAAACATAAAGTAGTTCTTAGATTGATTATGTATGTCAAAAAGCCAAAATAAAATATTGTTAATACAGGATATTTGCACAAATTTTAAATATTTANTTCTACTTTTAGAGCAGAAAAACATAAAGTAGTTCTTAGATTGATTATATATGTCAAAAAGCCAAAATAAAATATTGTTAATACAGGATATTTGCACAAATTTTAAATATTTACTTACGTAATAATATATCCAGTCTCATACCTTTAAAAAATGTATGGTCTATCACTTCTTTTAGCCAACTGATTGGCTATTAGTTTTTGCGCGCGTTCTTCACGCATGCATGAATTTCTAACCTCAAATAGTATAAATTAAGAAAAAACGACAATCAAACCGTCGCGTAGGAATTGCGCTAGCCGTCCGAAGGTAGGGCGAAGGTTAACTGTACCATAATCTCTGTTACGACAAATTAACAACAAATTATCACGTTGGATTCATTTCCATTGCTGCAATATGTGTCGAGATACAGCAGTGGCTACGCTAGCGTAAGTCTTTACGCCAAAATATCCATTGTTTCTCGGAAACGGCAACAGCTACAATATCAAGATTGGCGTAACAAATTAGCTACAAATTCTAAATATGGTTAGGTTGTGGCCTTATGAGGTGGCTACGCTAGCGTAATTTTTTGAAATTTCTTCTATAAATTAGATTGTATATATACACGTATAATTTCAATGACCTGATAGTTTAATGCACTAACATGGATGGAAAGCTATATATATATTATTTTTTTCTAGAACACCTCACACATCTTGGGCTCAAGGGGATTGTAAGGATGCCACAACCTCTGCAATGAAGAGATCTGATCCGAGGAAGAAAAAAACCCAAACCTCTAAGGAAACATCTACTGCTCCCATGCTTCGCAAAGGGTAATAAATAAATAAAAATCTTTTATGTTGCTCAAACCTAAAATTGTAATAATGAGACTAGTTAAAATTAATAAGATATTCTTGTTACAGAGGAAAAAATTTATCTATGTTAAAAGCAGCAATACATCTCCCTTCCCCAGGCCCATCCAATGCATGCTCAGAAGAAGACGATGAGACACCGGTTGACGAAGAGGCCATGGAAGACTTCATACGCCAAGAGCAAGAAAGACGTTTAAAATGGTCAAGGGTAGCAGCCAGGCGAAGAAGGGGGTTGGAAAAGAACATTAGGGGTTGTCGTACCCGCATCACTATAATTCAGCGACAGGAGGAAGCTCTTCAGCGACAGAAGGAAGCTCTCCAGCGACAGATGGAGGTATTGGTTCGGAACAGGGAATCTTCTGTTGCCGAGTTACAACAATCTGAGATGTGCCTCAATAAACTTATTGAAATTGGTTGCTAACTTGTTAATAAATTTCATTCAATACCTACATTTTATTTCTTAATTTTTAGTTAGTAGTTAGATTTTTATTTAGCTATTTTATATTTTTTATAATAATAAAAATGCTTCAGTTTTTAAATATACATAGTGCTACAAGAAAATAGTTATATACACACACATCAGTGGGTTAAAACAATTTATTTCAAACGAAAAGAAGATGGAAAATGCATGTACTTAATTAAAACATATTTTATTAAATTAATTTTGGTATATTTAAATTTTCACCATTTAATAGTAACCAATAGTAGACTATAAATACATACCTAATAGTAATAATTAAAAAAGTGAGTAAATGCTTTCTTCAAAATGGAGACTATTTTGAATAACTTTTGTGAACTTATTTTAAATTATACTTTATTATTTTTGCTCGTTTTTAAGTTTAATAAACCAGTTGTTCCATACTTTCATATCTGTTTGAACCTGTTTTCTACAGATCTTTTACACAGTGGGCCTGAGCAGATTTCATATGTTAGTGTAAGAAGTAAAATTGTTTAAAATTTCAGCGTTAGAAACAGTCCTCTGCATAATTTCTTAGATAAAAATTATTAACATCAAAATGATAACACCTCTAAATTTAAATTGCTTAGTTTCAATAATCAAAAACATTTTTATTTTCCATATTAAAGCATTTTTCTTTTACTTTACATATTTTATATTTCCTTTTCATAAATTTATAATTTAATTCGTTTCCTGCCGTTTTAGATACAGTTTTCTCACAGACTATAGCAATTCTATTCTAAACGTTGGGCATCAAGTAACCGGCTATGATGTTCAGAGAGCATCCGATGACAGGTGATCGACATTTACATATGTTTTTACATTCCTTTATAATTTTTTTAATCTGTGAATAATATTCTATAATGAATTAATAAATTTCGTATAAACATTAGTGCTATTCAAAAAAATAAACATCTTTGACTCTTTCTTGAGATTAAAAAATTAGTCTGCAAAAGGTAGTCTAATATATAGTGATAATGCTGTGTACTATGATTTTGCTGACTATGGTTGAAGAAAAAATTATCCTTAAAGATTCAGTTTTCGCCATGAGCTGGGCAGGTAATATACTACACCATTTTTTATATACTGGTAATAATTTAAAAATTTTTCCTCCCTTAGTAGATGCAGCTTACATCATCTGCTGGGTGCAGGAATATATATCACATATTGCTGTTGTAAGTTACATATANGTTGTTCCATACTTTCATATCTGTTTGAACCTGTTTTCTACAGATCTTTTACACAGTGGGCCTGAGCAGATTTCATATGTTAGTGTAAGAAGTAAAATTGTTTAAAATTTCAGCGTTAGAAACAGTGCTCTGCATAATTTCTTTGATAAAAAATATTAGCATCAAAATGACATCACCTCTAAATTTAAATTGCTTAGTTTCATTAATCAAAAACAACATTTTTCTTTTCCATATTAAAGCATTTTTCTTTTACTTTACATATTTTATATTTCCTTTTCATAAATTTATAATTTAATTCGTTTCCTGCTGTTTTAGATACTGTTTTCTCACAGACTATAGCAATTCTATTCTAAACGTTGGGCATCAAGTAACCGGCTATGATGTTCAGAGAGCATCCGATGACAGGTGATCGACATTTATATGTTTTTACATTCCTTTATAATTTTTTTAATCTGTGAATACTATTCTGCAATGAATTAATAAATTTCGTATAAACATTAGTGCTATTCTAAAAAATAAACATATTTGACTCTTTCTTGAGATTAAAAAATTACAGTCTGCAAAAGATAGTCTAATATATAGTGATAATGCGGTGTACTATGATTTTGCTGACTATGGTTAAAGAAAAAATTATCCTTAAAGATTCAGTTTTCGCCATGAGCTGGGCAGATAATATACTACACCATTTTTTATATACTGGTAATAATTTAAACATTTTTCCTCCCTTAGTAGATGCAGCTTACATCACCTGCTGGGTGCAGGAATATATATCACATATTGCTGTAGTAAGTTACATATAAATTTTATTTTCTAATTATTTACTTATTTAAAATTTTAGGATGACTTCCTCGTTGTTAAACATGCTGCGCCACCAGAGGCGATATTCATGGATAACGTGTGTACACCCTCGGGAATAATCCGGATGGTGAGTTATACTCTCGAGGTAGGGTGTGCCAGAGCACCGTGGGTAACACTGTGGGTTGGAATGTAAACACATATATATTTATACTGTAGCTATATAATTTGTTTCATGTTCTGACACGGATCGTTGAACCGACTTTATTGATGTAATATCTCTCTATATGTTATACTCACCTATTTTCTTCAGAATAAAAATGTTTTAAACCAGTTATCTGTCTTTTTATTTAACAACTGTTCCATATCCCGTTAAAAAAATATATGTTGACTATTTAACAGCAGTTTCATGCTTGTGCAATTAAACAGAAGTAGTTTTATTTTGTTTTATTATTCTTTTCATATGTTAGTACGAGAAAATTGCAGCATGAAGATTGCAAGGTAAGTACCTAATTTTATAATTATAATTAATAATAATTATTTTAATTCCTCAAACAAGATTCAATAATGTTAACTTAATTAAAAATAACATTTTTTATATTGATATATATCTCTTTTATGATACGTATTCACTGAAATTAGGCTCCTATAATAAAAAACCAAGAGCTGTATACCAAATTTGCATCAGGAATATCTATTGTTACTTTATGAAATAGAATTACAATCAAATTCAAATTCAAATTTGAAAGCGCATTTTGATTATACCCCGTATAAATAAATATGTAAATATAGTAGTACTAAACTATAGAAACACTAGGAATTTTTATTGGTAACGGTAATATGTAAAACCTATATGTATTATCATCAAACTCTTTTAACTTTATAGAGATTATCTAATTGACGCTAAATTTTGTATTCAAAAGAGTTGTGTTATTTGAAAAAGCTTCCGGTAAATATTCTACCTGTTGATTAATAGAGCCATCTTACGGCGCAAAGAACCAATTATAACATTAATAGGAATAAAACGAAGGTATATGTCATGTTACCCGCCTAGATTTATGGATGTCGCTGGCGGTATGTAAATAGCTTTTTTATTTTAACAAGCATCAAATTAAAGCCTCTAGAGAGGCTTTTTAAAGTTTGAAATTGAAAATACAAAAAAATATGTCAGTTTTAAATTCATTCATCATTTTAAAATATCAGGTTACTGTTTATGCCAGCGTGGCAGTATTAAAGGAAATTGTCGTATTCCAAGATGCGAGCGTCCTCCAGAATTTTTCAACGCCCTATACAATGCCAGTCGATGTCCAGTACTAGCCGACACGCCTGTGAACCCAGATTCTGAAAGGAGGCCGAATAGACAAATTCGCCTACCTTTCGAATCCAATCAGAAAAGCCACCACGGTTGGGAGTACAGTCGCCGTCTTACTACCCAGCAACTGCAAATTCCACCACGGCATAAACTTCGTCATCGAACCCGATGCTGACGAAACATTCCAATGCCAACTCCACATCACAGCGCGGACGTTGGTCTCTGAAATTAGACCGATCGCTCCAGAGACGGCTCCGTGGAAACCTATGAGACGGCTACAAAGCTATGCCTGGATGGTGGAAAAGAGTTTAAATATTGGCTACGTAATAAAAGATCGAACGAACTTATGCGGTATTATGTATCAGAAAGCGATCGGGGAGAAAAATATCCGAGCTCATATTATATACATGGAAATCAATATGACATTATTTCTGGAACGTATTTACATCCTACAATGGCTTGGAGAAGTTATTCAATGGATGTGGTTGTCAAGAACAGAAGAGAATGGAGGATACGTTTACATAGCAACAACCATGAAGTATGGAGCTAGAAATGTATACAAAGTGGGCTACACTAAAAATCCTGAGAAGAGACTTAAAGAGTTCAACAATTATAGAGCCAACTTTGACTTGTTCTTTTACGTAGACCTAACCAGAGTTTGCAGTGTAAAGAATTTGCTAAAGGATATTGTTAGACATTTTTAAAATATGCTTAAGTTTACATCTCACCGACACTCAAATACAGCGTAACCGGAACAGGCATATTGCACTACAGCACTGGTCGGTATTACCTTTGAAATAAATGAAATGTAATACAGTGATAAGAATTTATTACTTCCCCCTCCAAAATATTTACCTGTTGATTGTGTTAGAGCCATCTTGCGACGCAACGAACCAATTAACCATAAAAATGGATAAAAGCAAATCAAATTACTTTGAATATAAATGAAATTATAAGTTCTTTTTGTGATGTATCTAATGATAGTATATTAAGTAATGCTCTACGTGAATATCTTTACTTTTATCAAACTAATGTACTGTCTGATATAAGTAATAAATTAAAATGTTAAGTAACATGTCTTTTATTTTTTGATAACCTTGGTAACTTCCTGCATTCCAAAAGGCTAATAACAACTTACACTAGTCATATCAGGTTACAGTTTATGTTATAAAACAGGTCTGAGGCAGGAAAAAACAGGTCTGAACCAGTAGAAAACAGGTCTGAACCAGTAGAACTCAGGTCTGAACAAGTAGAAAACAGGCCTGAACCTGTAGCAAACAGGACTGAACTTGTAGAAACTTGACCTCGAATGCTGCAATACCTGATAAGAATGACGCAATGCTGTTTGGAGGTCATTGACCTCCCCTTATCGTGATTGAATTTTATATCTACCACCAACTGGCCATGTGACGTCACTTCCATGCCGCCATGACACTTCTTGCATGCCAACACCCACGCATCTCTTGCACAACGACAATGCCCACAAGAAGCCGCTGAAGGAGCGATGGACACTGGCCATCGAGTTCGTGACGTCATTTAGTGTGTCGCAGAACTGGCCTCATATATCTACTAATGGAGCTCTCGACGGCAAGCACATAGTTTTTGAAAAACCACCAAATTCAGGGTCGTTATTTTACAATTACAAAAAAGAATTTAGCATAGTATTACTGGCCTTGGTGGATGCAGATTATATAT